CCCCAAAACCCCAAAACCCCAAAACCCCAAAACCCCATGTTCTTAAGAGATAAATTTTATTCAAGGTTATTAAATTTTAATTGAGATAACAGAAAAAATTAATGAGTTAGTCTTAGTAACTTTTACACTCATAAGCACCATTAATGAGGAATCCAGATGAAAGCAAGTCTAATTAGTCTCCCTCGAAGGATAAGCAATATGCCATTAGATTAGAAATTGAAGTGGGAAATGATATCAACTATTGCGATAAACCCTTTTCAAAACCAAAGGATATCTAAAATGAGTTTATTAATAATAGAAAGGAGAACAATTATCAAGGCAACTTGATTGGTGATGATATTGATGTTGAAAAATAAATAACTGAAAGGGAGGAAATCGGGAATGAATACAGCATTAATGATAATCAAAGACATAGTTTTATAAATGCAATGGAGAGTATTCACTAGGAATAGGATTAATAGCAGGTTGATAAAGATACAAAGATTGATGGCTAAATCCAACAATAGATTAAAGCGGTATCTGAATAAATTGATACCTCATCATCTATTGTTGCATCTCAAAATCAAAAGCAGGGATAAAAGTATCTCTACTATATATATGGTGGTAACTATCCTGAGACAGTGTTTGAATCTTTATTAAACAGAGGTAATTGGTAAGAAGCAAAAGAAGAGGATAACATAGAAAAATGCCATTTTCTATGGAGACCATTTAATTACCCTCCTGATGGATATAAAAGAATCGATAAGAGGATTGTCAGAAATCCTAATATCTTCATTTACAATCACTTTGAAGTGCTTAAAGGTCTGACTACAAAGTCAGGACTGGTAAGATCTCTCAAGTAGTATTACTTTAATAATGAACTAGCAAGTAAGAAATATGGATATTTTTACATTATTTTTAGGGGGCGCTGGATATTCTATCTTCGATTCGACACCTACGACATTTTTACTTGCATCAGGTGTTGAAGATGCGGAGTATACTGAAATGGCTTGTAGATATAGAGATTTTCAGAGAGGATATGCACCTAAGGAAAGAATACCAATAAAGCATTGTGTAAATAATATCTGGCTTGTGAAGCCATCGAATGCTAACTAAGGTAGAGGGATTGAAATATTCTCAGACTTAGAGGATTTACAAACTTTTGTTGCATCAAGACCTTAGTTCACTTGTTGTGTAGTTTAGAAATATATAGAAAGACCACTTCTCTTTAAAGGAAGAAAATTTGATATTAGAGTTTGGGCATTATTTACACATAAACATGAAGTATTTATGTATAAGCATGGCTACTTAAGGACATCTTCTGATGACTATAATCTTTAAAATGGTAACAATTATGTGCATTTAACTAATAATTGTCTGCAAAAGTATGGAGAAAATTATGGAGTCCACGAGGATGGAAACACTGTAGGGTTTTAGGTTTTACAGAACTTTTTGGATGAAAATTACCCTTAATACAAGCTCAATGTGTATGAGCATTTCGTCCCAAGAATGAAAGATCTAATCATAGATTCCTTTTTAGCTACAAAATCACAGTTAAATCCAAACAGAAGAAAACATTGCTTTGAATTACTTGGTTATGATTTCCTAATAGATGAAGATTTTAGACTGTGGATGATTGAAATAAACACTAATCCATATTTTGGTGTACCTAATGTGTTTATAGCCAATTTATTACCTAAATTGATGGATGATCTTCTCGATATAGTTGTTGATCCTATTTATCCTCCTCACCACAAACCAGAAAGTAAATATTTATTTAAATCATCATCCACTCTTTAGATTGTAAACTTCCTAATGATTTTGAGCTATTGTATTGTGAGTCTAATACCACTTTCAGCTCCCAACCAGTGAATATTAGAAGATCATTTTCAACTTGTTTGTATCCAGTACCGGAGCTCATTTAAGTAGTTGGCCCTAAAGCCCCTAGAGTAAGAAAATTTTTATTTAAAACATTATTATAGTAAGATCTAAGGTATTTGAAGTAGTTTAAGATTTCTAACTTGACCCTCTCAACAATTACCTACAAAAAGAAGAAGGACCCTTAATCTAAGGAAGTGAATGAGCCATCAACCGTGTAATCACCTACAATGAAGAGTACTACTAACAGATCAAAGAGCGCAACTGGTTAGAAGAATTTGCACCATCATCAATAGTAAATATCTAGCTAAATCGGAACTCCTAACTCTTTCATGAATAAAACATCTAGAAGTAGATCTTCCTTCAAAAACTAAATTATCATTAACTAATTGAAATCAAATAGCATGTTCTAGACCTAGATTAATGGCTAATAAACTAGGAGTAATAACTCTGATCTCAAAAGTGTCATGGATTGCAAGTCACCTTAAAAAAATTAAACAATCCAAAGCAATAATGCTATGACTAGTCAGTAATAGAAAAATATTTAGGTATTTTAATAAGCAGCTGGTCTTAATAGTCACTTGAAGACTCCTAAATATATCTAAAACAAAAAGAGTATGATCAATACCTCAAATAGTGCTTAAATCATTAGAAGTAGTGCGCCTTAAACATAATCAGATAGAGCAGCCGCTGGAACACCAATTGATAGGAAAAAAGGACCAGTAGTGAATCTAAATTCAAGAGATAACTCACCAATCTAGAATAGATCTCCAGCTTAACAGAAACTAAAGCTTAGCTAAACTATAGTAACTATTCATTCTTAGAGCAGATAATAAACAGTAGCTTCTTAGTAATAATAGCTAAACTCTTTATAAAATACCACAGCAACATAATAAAATACTTCTGCCTAGAATATCTAAAATATGAGTCCGTTTACTTTCTAGGAAGAGAAATTATTAAGTAAATTCAACAGCAGTAGCAACATCACGAATAGAAATGAGAATAATGACTTGACTTAAGAACAGCTGAATAGACTCTTTAAAGCCTAGATTGAAAATATTAGAAATAATAAATCTGATGTAGATAAGGTTTAAAGAGCTTTAGACTTGATCTCTATTATATTTGATAACGTTGTCTTAAGATCATTGTAACTTGACTATATGATTAGCGAGCTCTTGAAATTCTTGGAAGATGAGCAGTAGTCATTAAAATAATAGTAAACAAAGAATGGTGCCTATCATCTTCAACAAGTCATAGATTTATTGGTGAAGTTATCTGAAAAACTTTCACTCAAGCTCATTCTGGCTAAAAACAAAAATTCCTCTTAATTAGTTCAATTCTACTTCGCTACTAATGAGTAGGTACAATAGAAAGTACTTCTTATTCTAAATAACATTTCTTGCATTTCTCCAATTAGCAATAGACACTCATCTCCATCTTCAATTCAAAAGTAAATTCTGAGACAAGAAAACTAAGGAATATAAGTAGTAAAGAAGCAATTGCAAAGTAAATGCTTAGATAATGGACTGCTATTACTTCAGCTTATAATTAAGCCTGAATATGTAGAATTTGTGGAGTTAACCTAGGGTGATTCTATAACATTGCTGTCTCAACTAGGTCAAATTGAACAAAAATACGAAGAATAGCCATTTAGCAAATAAAATTTACTTAATAATGATATCTCCTCTATTAACGTTGATTCCTTTTAGAATAGTGCAAGATAAATTGGTACTGAAGGTAATGAAATAATCTTAGATAGTGATGCTAACAGATTTAATGAAAATGGAGCTTCCCCTATGCAAATCAAATTTGAAATAACCAACACTGGCTCCTAAAACTTTTACCGTGATTAAATACCAATGAGTTCAGAACCAAATTTGAATATGACGGATAATTCGTTTGAGAAGCATATAAAAAATGAAATAGAACCTTAGAAATAAAATGGAAAGCCAGATAAAATGCAAGTTGATATGACTGAAAGTGCAGAGATCAAAGTATCATAAATTGCTTCCAGAAATTCATTTGGTTTCTAGCTAGATCAAAATCTCAAAAAATCAATGCTAAATCAGTAGTTAGCAATGATCCAAAATTATGCTAAAAGATTTAATAATTAGATCCTTATTAAAAGTCTTGAAGACAGATTAGAGAGACTTATCATTGAAGCTAATGAAAAATATATGAGAGAATAAAATCAAAAATCCTTAAGCCCAGATAGATTGTCAGCAAAATTAAAGGAGCCAGCAGTTATAAAAATTTCTAGTGAAGCATAAAAGAATAAGTTCAAGCAATATGAAAGCCCCTTTAAAAAATCTATCAAGAGTAGCCCTTAATTAGTAAAAAATCATCAAATTGCTTAGTCTATCAAAGAATATGAGACTCCTGAGAAGATAGACAATATTAATATACTGAAACTAAGCAATAAAGGTTCATTTATTGAAGAACAAAATAAATCTGTTTCAAATGGCCTCAGTAACACCTAGATAATCAACTAAAATGCGAATCACAGTTTTAATAATTACTAAGCAAGTTTGAGTATGAGTACCAATAATTTAAATGTGAGCTCAATTTCAAATCAAAGGTAATAATTGACTAAGATATAGCCAGCAGAAGAGTAAATTATACACTCAAAAACTGTAAAGAAGCCTGCTCAAAATGCAATAAAGTATGCTCCTATTTTGAGGGCTAAGTAAGGACTTATGCCTACAGGAAAAGTCATTTCAAATTAAAAGACTTCAAGTCAGGCCTAATTAGATAGAAAAGATGAAGCGAAAGTAGCAAGAGGAAGAACAGTTGAGAGAAGACAAGCCTATAGTGCTAAAATCCAAACTTAGCTATATCAACCAGATTCTCAAAGAAAAAATGAAGTAAAAGTTAAAGCTTAATTCTAATATAATAACTTCTATCCAGACAATTTCAGCCCAGAGAAATCAGATAGAGAAGTTAAGCAAATAAAAAATGATACAACTCTTGGGCAAATAAACTAAAAAATAAATGATCTTTAACAAAATTTAAACCTAATGAGTCAGTATACCTCTAGTAATAAGCTCAGAATTACTTCTACCAAAGTCTATCAGAATCCAAATAGTCACAGAGAAAGAGAGGAAACTAAGGACTCTAATAATAAAAATAATATTGTTGAGATGATAAACCTCTACTCTTAGGGAAGTATTGATAGTGGAGTTAATTCTAAAAGAGATGAAGAGTACAACTATAAGTCTAACTACAGTAGTGTTGAGGCAACTCCAAACAAAATTATAATGTCATCAAAGCAAATTCTTGCATCTGAAAAAAATCTTCAATACTACAAGAGAGGAACTCAAGTTAGTCAAAACAGAAAAAGTTTCAATAAGCTTAACACAAATAAGAACTATTATCAATTCAATAATGATCATTTAAATAGCAACAACGGCGATATTTAGTCAAATTAGCAGAATTCATTATCCCAAAATTTCATAAAGTAGAGAAAAGGTTCAGCAATTGAAATCAATAAGAAGAACAGTAATTATGGCCTCTATTCACCAAGTAACACCAAGTCATCATAATAATTCAATATTGAAAGTGCTTTTACTAAAATAGAGAGAAAAAGAGATAATTCAAAGAACAGGAGGTTCACAATGAACGGAAAGAATTGACAAAAAAACTTCTAACTTCACAAGTACTCCAATTTGAATTATTGTTCACAAGTTTTTATTTTTTACTCTTTAATATATATGCTTATTTAAAATTATATGCATGGGGTTTTGGGGTTTTGGGGAGATCGGA